AAGCAGCCCCTCAGGGCGACCCAGATACGGTAGACCAGTCAGGGTAGCATGAAAGCGTAACCCCAGCCCGGACGTCCAGGAAATTTTTGCAGTTACGCGCCAGGGGGCCTGATGATCACGAAGGCTCCCGCAAAAGCCTGTGTTATGACCGCATGATCCAGGAAGTATGAAGCCGAAACCCGGCTTTTCTTACCGTCTGGACATATATCGATGAGTGAAATAAACACTGCAAGTCGAGCACCCTGTTTCTGAACCCAGCAGAGGGTGTGCCCATCGAGGACCTACCCTAGAAATGGACAGAAACACACAGGTCCCGGGAAACAGCTTCAGACACGGGTCACGACGAGGCGTTCCCCATAGCGACTCCTAGTGGACGCAGTTCGAAGTTCCCATGAAAGGGAACATAAACACTTAATATGGCTTAATGTATTAACCCTCTAAGCGCCAAAGTCGCAAAATTGCGACAAGACGTCATACTTAATAAAATAGGCTGTAGATCCTAATATGGTGTAATAATCTCATTTGTATTCCCTACCACTAGATGGCAGACATGTAGTACTTCGATTCTAGACCAAAATGATGTCATGTTCCTGTTCAAAGTGTTTGAGTAAAGAGCAGAGCAAGTGAGCTATTGTGTCATTGATGCGGAAGCAGTTCAGTTCATAGCGTGTGAGTAAATTATGCGATTTGTGAGAAAAAATCGGAAAATGGCTAATAAAAAGTTGTTCCGTGAGGATGTGTTGCAAATGTTATTCGCTGATTCTGACTCTGAAGGGGAATATTTGCCTTTTGGAAATGACAATCGGTCGTCTAATGATCGCACTTCTCCCGGTACATCTTTGCAGCGCAATGGTGCCGCCGTGCAAGGCGCAAGTGTTCACGAAGCACAAACAAGTGATCATTTCGACACTTTGCCCAACGGAGTTGGGGGTGGCAGGGGTGGACGTGGTCGTAGTGTCCATAGGAGAGCAGTTGCTAGAGGTAGAGGCAGCAGGGGTAGGAGAAATAGAATGTGATGATTAGGTTTAGGAGAAACCTAATCATCGCAGGTAATGATGTCAACCTTGTAAAAATATTTGACTTTGACTCTCGCAGAATTTATCATTGGAATATACAGAGATGTTATATGCAAAGTTTTTTTCGTCCCGTAGAGCCGAGCTAGACACATATTTAGCCATTATCGCTGACTTAGCTCTCACATATGGAGGAACTCTCTTTTATGAATATCATAAATCTTTCTCCGCAAAAGCTGCCATGTTCATTCAGCGATTCAATCAGAGACTGGACTGGTCTGTAGTCGACTTAACTCTCATCAGCAGACACTTCACTAGTCATCAAACTCTCTCCTGCTCGATCTGTGGCTCTCACACTCACACACCAAATCTGTGCCCAAAAATCTCCTTTGTCCAATCTCCTAAGCCTGTCTCAAGCTTGCAGCCTGATCCTAAGATGATGCCATTTGCCACTCCACTGTGTTATAATTTTAATGAAAATGTTTGCAAATTCTATAATTGTAAATATGTTCATGCTTGTAGTTACTGTGGAGACGGTCACCCCAAATCTGTGTGCCCGAGATGAACCCGCTTTATGAAAAAGGAGAAAAAGAAATAAAACCATCAACCCCAGTCAACGTCCCAAAGCTGAGTCTTCCTCTTTCTGAGGAGAAAACACTAGGTCCCCTTAAAACCATTGAATTCTTGGGCATCACATTAGATTCTAACCTAATGCAAGCCTCCCTGCCCTCAGAGAAATTAAATCGCATTAGAGAACTCATGAGAAATGCTCAAGAATCTGCATTTTTTTCTAAAAGAGAATTGCTCTCTTTACTAGGCCATCTTAATTTTGCGATGCGAATAATTCCACAGGGAAGGTCTTTCATAGCCAGGCTCCTTGACCTCTCAAAGACAGTTAAAGACCTTAAGGATATAGTTAGCCTAGCTGAAGGTTGCAGATCAGATCTCAGATTCTGGTTTTTGCTCCTCAACAACTGGAATGGTATCTTGTTTTTCTATTATGATGAGTTGGAGTCATCTGCAACCCTTAAATTATACACAGATGCTGCGCCTTCCGTTGGTTTTGGGGATGTGTTTAATGGTCAGTGGTTTGCTAGTGCATGGCCAAATGAACTGCTATCTGTACCCGTTAATACCATGTCAACTGGTCTGTTGGAGTTGTACCCTATCGTGATGGCTTGTATTTTGTGGGGTAAGCACTGGTCAAGGAAACAAATTATGTTCTTCTGCGACAACGAAGCAACTGTCAATATTATTAATAAGGGACGCTCCTCTGTTCCATTTATAAACCGTTTTGTTAGGCGCCTTACTTGGTTATCTATAATGGGTAACTTCAATTTTCGGGCTGCTCACATTCCTGGCTTAAATAACCAAATCGCTGATTCTTAGTCTCGGTTTGAATTTCAGAAATTCCACCTCCTGTGCCCGGAGGCAGCACCATCCAGCCTGGTCTGTCCCTCTTTCAGCCAAACCGTACTAGACTAGACATGACCTTTCAATCGTATTTGCACTCTGCAGCTCACTACATGCGTAATGGTCTGACAAAAACTACATTAAAAATGTATGGCTCTGCTTGGTCTCACTTCAGTTCTTTCTGTGCTACATTCTCCGTGGCTGTACTACCGGTTAATGTTTCATATGTTAGTGCTTTTATAGTCCACTGTTATGAATCTAGAAAAATGCAGCCTTCAAGCATCAAAAGTATGGTTGCTGGCATCCAATTCCACATGCGCTGCTTGGATCCATCTACCATCAGCTTACTAGGAAATCCATCGATTCGTCTCCTGCTTAATGGCCTCAAAAAAGAAAAACCTCAAGGCAACGATCAACGTCTCCCTTTCACGCTCCCACTTTTGCTAAAGTTAATATCACGTTTAAGAGCAGGATGCTTTGGGTCTTATACTGATTTAATGCTAGAGTCTGCTTTGCTCACAGCTTTCTATGGTTTTCTCAGAGGTGGCGAATTCGATTCGTCTCCTGCTTAATGGCCTCAAAAAAGAAAAACCTCAAGGCAACGATCAACGTCTCCCTTTCACGCTCCCACTTTTGCTAAAGTTAATATCACGTTTAAGAGCAGGATGCTTTGGGTCTTATACTGATTTAATGCTAGAGTCTGCTTTGCTCACCACTTTCTATGGTTTTCTCAGAGGTGGCGAATTTACCACTCGCACTGATATTTTTAATCCATCACAAGACCTCATAATTTCTGATGTAACCCTTTATTCTCACTACTTCACCGTTTATCTCAAGCATTCTAAAACTGATCAAAACAAGGAAGGCACAGTAATTTTCATTTCTGAATCTAACTCAGTTTTTTGTCCTCTGTCTTCCATGTTGGCCTACTTGAGAAGCCGTCCACAAGCTGGTCCGCAGGACCCACTGTTTTCCACAGAGGAGGAAAAGCCTATGTCCAGAGCCTAGTTCGCCTCCCGTCTCCGCCTTCTCTGCCAATACTGTGGTCTTCTCCCAGAACGCTACACAGCTCATTCTCTGCGCATAGGGGCTGCGACAATTGCATCTTCCTTCACTCCTCTCTCTACCTTGAAAGCCATGGGCCGATGGTCGTCAGTTGCTTATGAACGTTACATCCGACCCGACGCTCGAGCCATACTTGAGGCTCAAAAAGCTATGAGTGCAGCTCCCTAATAAGGGTTTAAAAATAAATGTATGGCTTCAGTAACTATTGGGTGTGTTTACTTTTATAAATATGTATTACTCCATCTTCATTTCTTATGCTGACTCCACATAGTTACTTGGCTATTTTAAAGCAAATTAAAAAAAAATATATAGATACATTTTTGGCTTCCGGCAACGCTCATTTGGTTCCTCTGCTGGCTCTTCAGCAATGGTATGGTCTGTTGGGGGTCTTTTTTGTGCTATTCTCCTATTCTTAAAATAGGAGGGTTGCCCCTGAAGCGACTGCTGTTTCCCTGTCCTGGCTTTCATAGAGCTCATGAAAAGGACAGGAAACTTGGAACAGAGCCATACTGCCAAATGTAACTTTAGTAAACATGCTAATAAAAAGTTGACTTAAATGCTTGTCTATGGGTTCTTTTTGACTTAAGAGATCCTGACTGAAACATTTTTCTCCCATAGAAAATTATAAATTAAACACGTATTGTAGCTTAGTGGACAAAGACAATGATATAAAAGAGCTGTAGAGAGTTTACTCTATATGGAAAAACGCTCAACACGAAACAGTGCGAGTTGCATTTATTCTGGGCTCACCGGCACATATGTATATTAATAATGTAGAAGAGCATACCGAGTTTGGCCTTTTTAGTACATTATGCGGTATGGGAGAAAAATACTACACACATTCATTATATTAATAAACTGTACATTTAATTTGATATTTTAATAGCATCTTAATACATTAAGCCATGTTAAGTGTCCATTTTTCTACAGGAGGAAAATGCTTAACGAGAGACTTTGCATATGCGTTCATATTCTGCTGTTCTGTGGCCACGGATTTGCGGGTCTTGTCTTTTTCTTGCAGGACCCGGTATGTTATAATACTAAATTAGTTTTAATCATTTAATCACCACCACAGCGTCTTGTCTCCATTGGTAACATGCACGATTTGTGTCGATCGCAAGTGACATCGCAGGTAGCAGAGAGTGCAAGTGGCAATTCCAAGTGACATTGTAATTTAGTTTCTTTTTTTCTTGTCTTCACCACCTGGCTACTGTTGTAAAATGTTGAGAGATTCAAAAAGTAATTTAAAAAAAAAATAAAACAAAAAACCCACTAGCGGAAGCGCAAGTGTCTGAGAGTGCAAGGCTGCAGCCAAACCCTTTTGACTATAGGGTCATTCTTAGCATTTGGTGCCATTTGAGTCCCCATGACGTAATGTGGTATATTTCGCGTAAAAATCGGCTAATGCTTTTCTAAATGTCCAGGTCTCAGTGAGAGGAACTTACACAAAGCACTGATGCCAGAAAGCAGTTATGTGAGAAAACAGCCAAAAGATTCCAAAAACAACAATTCAAGCAATTTTCTTTTTATTTGAGGGAGGGGGGTTGACAAATCTTTCTAAACTGTTTGAGAAAACATGCCATATGAATAAAGCACTGAATTGAAAAGATCTCCAGTAGGTCTTACACAAAGTTCCCATGACCATTTCAATGATCCCATCCCTGGCCAAAACCGATTCCCTGGCCAGTACCGCTTCCCTGGCCGCTTCCCTGACCTTGACCGCTTCCCTGACCGCTTCCCTGGCCGCTTCCCTGACCCTGACCGCTTCCCTGACCGCTTCCCTGACCGCTTCCCTGACCGCTTCCCTGACCGCTTCCCTGACCGCTTCCCTGACCGCTTCCCTGACCGCTTCCCTGACCGCTTCCCTGACCGCTTCCCTGACCGCTTCCCTGACCGCTTCCCTGACCGCTTCCCTGACCGCTTCCCTGACCGCTTCCCTGACCGCTTCCCTGGCCGCTTCCCTGACTAGTCACTTGACCACTCCCCTGGCCGCTTGCCTGACCTTGGCCGCTCGCCTGGCTGCTTGCCTGACCTTGGCCACTTCCCTGGCCAAAACCGATACCCTGGCTAGTCCCTTGGCCACTGCCCTGGCCACTCGCCTGACCTTGGCCGCTTCCCTGACCAGTCCCTTGACCGCTCCCCTGGCCACTCACCTGACCCTGGCCGCTTCCCTGACTAGTCACTTGACCACTCCCCTGGCCGCTTGCCTGACCTTGGCCGCTCGCCTGGCCTTGACTGCTTCCCTGGCCAACACCGATTCCCTGGCTAGTCCCTTGGCCACTGCCCTGGCCACTCGCCTGACCTTGGCCGCTCGCCTGGCCAGTACCTTGGCCGCTTCCCTGGCCACTTCCCTGACCTTGGCCGCTCGCCTGGCCAAAACCGATTCCCTGGCCACTCGCCTGGTCAAAACCAATTCCCTGGCCGCTCGCCTGACCTTGGCCGCTCGCCTGGCCTTGACTGCTTCCCTGGCCAACACCGATTCCCTGGCTAGTCCCTTGGCCACTGCCCTGGCCACTCGCCTGACCTTGGCCGCTCGCCTGGCCAGTACCTTGGCCGCTTCCCTGGCCACTTCCCTGACCTTGGCCGCTCGCCTGGCCAAAACCGATTCCCTGGCCACTCGCCTGGTCAAAACCAATTCCCTGGCCGCTCGCCTGACCTTGGCCACTCGCCTGGCCAAAACCGATTCCCTGGCCGCTCACCTGGCCTTGACTGCTTACCTGGCCAAAACCGATTCCCTGGCCCCTTCCCTGACTAGTCCCTTGGCCACTGCCCTGGCCACTCGCCTGACCTTGGCCGCTCGCCTGGCCAGTACCTTGGCCGCTTCCCTGGCCACTTCCCTGACCTTGGCCGCTCGCCTGGCCAAAACCGATTCCCTGGCCACTCGCCTGGTCAAAACCAATTTCCTGGCCGCTCGCCTGACCTTGGCCGCTCGCCTGGCCAAAACCGATTCCCTGGCCACTCGCCTGGTCAAAACCAATTTCCTGGCCGCTCGCCTGACCTTGGCCGCTCGCCTGGCCAAAACCGATTCCCTGGCCACTCGCCTGGTCAAAACCAATTTCCTGGCCGCTCGCCTGACCTTGGCCGCTCGCCTGGCCAAAACCGATTCCCTGGCCACTCGCCTGGTCAAAACCAATTTCCTGGCCGCTCGCCTGACCTTGGCCGCTCGCCTGGCCAAAACCGATTCCCTGGCCACTCGCCTGGTCAAAACCAATTTCCTGGCCGCTCGCCTGACCTTGGCCGCTCGCCTGGCCAAAACCGATTCCCTGGCCCCTTCCCTGACTAGTCCCTTGACCGCTCGCCTGGCCACTTACCTGACCTTGGCCGCTCGCCTGGCCTTGACCGATTCCCTGGCCGCTCGCCTGGCCTTAACCGATTCCCTGGCCGCTCGCCTGGCCAAAACCGATTCCCTGGCCAAAACCGATTCCCTGGCTAGTCCCTTGACCACTCCCCTGACCTTGGCCGCTCACCTGGCCAGTACCTTGGCCACTCGCCTGGCCACTTCCCTGACCTTGGCCGCTTGCCTGGCCAAAACCGATTCCCTGGCCACTCGCCTGGCCACTTGCCTGGCCTTGACTGCTTCCCTGGCCAAAACCGATTCCCTGGCCCCTTCCCTGACTAGTCGCTTGACCACTCCCCTGGCCACTCGCCTGACCTTGGCCGCTCGCCTGGCCAAAACCGATTCCCTGGCCGCTCGCCTGGCCGCTTGCCTGGCCTTGACTGCTTCCCTGGCTAGTCCCTTGACCACTCCCCTGGCCACTCACCTGACCTTGGCCGCTCACCTGGCCAGTACCTTGGCCACTCGCCTGGCCACTTCCCTGACCTTGGCCGCTCGCCTGGCCAAAACGGATTCCCTGGCCGCTCGCCTGGCCGCTCGCCTGGCCAAAACGGATTCCCTGGCCACTCGCCTGGCCAAAACGGATTCCCTGGCCGCTCGCCTGGCCAAAACGGATTCCCTGGCCGCTCGCCTGGCCAAA